ACATTCTGTGATTCTGTGTGATTCCGTGAAATGAGAGCTGAAGACTATTCCCTCTGAGTAGCCAGTTCTTGGTTTCAGGGCCTTAAAAACCGCAGCCCATCAGACATTTAGTAATGTTTAGTAAAAACAAATAATGAACAATATACTCAAGCACTGGCAAGTAAAAAAAAGGTATTTCTTGCAGCACAACCTGCATTCCATCCTTTTCCTGCACTAATGAACCAAAGTAGGCCAAATCGCTCTCTGGTGTGCTCATGTATAGTTTAGTATCGTATAACAGGATTTGTTAGTATCACAGGCAGAATTTTTTCCCAGTGATTTGATTTCCTTTTTTAATCTTAGCCTAATGTCAGCACTTTATGGTGTTTGTAAAAGAAGATTGGCAGGTTGACTCAAACCTGATTTCAGTCATCTCTGTGAGTGTCAAATTTAACAAAAAGTCGTCCTGGCGAGGGGGAGGAAGACAGTATTTAAAAAGCAGTTTAAATCTCACATCTACTTTACTTGATGTGTCATATATGGTTTCTGGGCCATAACAGAGACTATAACATTAATAAAATTATTTTACAGTTAACACCTCTTATGATTTATAGAGTATTACAAGAATATTGAAAATATCATGACCAACAGCCACTTAGGCTCAAATGGGCATTTTCATTGGAGATCACAGTGAAGGAGTTGACTCAGAGGAACTCTTACTTGGGGGGGGGGAGGAAAGATTTTCCTTGCTGTGTTTATGTTGCTTGGTAGCATGAACCAGATCAGTTCAACCAGAAGAGAAAGAAGGAAGAGGAACAACAATGTTGAACACGTTTGCTAACCACATAGCTAAATTTCTTGTTCAGATTCATTTCATATCATGGTGAGAACTGGGTAGCAAAAGTTGTTCTCTCAGCTTGTCACTTTGTCAATGTCACTGTTCTCTGCATCTATGGGCTTCCTGTACACCATCGTGTCAAGACAGTGACTTACCTTCCATTTCAGGTCCTTTTGCACTCTTACCTGACTGACTGTCTCTCACATGTTTAGTCTGTTTCTGCTTCTGCTCAACAAAATCCAACAAAGTAACTCGCCCAGCTTGCATCAGCATGGTTCGAACATGATAAATGTTCAATGCTATTTCCCAAACACAGTAAATATGTCTATACAGCAGTTCATGGGCAAGCTAGACCTGTACACCTTCTGTCCATGTGCTGACTTGCAGACAGCCTATGAACTGCCGGTATGGGTGCTGTGAAAGCTCTGTGTTAGAGTAGGGGGTAGACAAATTGATTAAATTAACCATTACAGTTTCTTCAAGACAGGATTGTGGTGCATTGACAGGGTGGTAGTAAGGAAACATATGTTAAGTGTTACTGTTCTGTTCTGTGATTAGTGTGGTTGTCATCAAGTTCTGTTTTATCTTTTCTGAGATGCCAATAAGCAATAATATCCAACTTCTTTGCTGTCATTGAATTCACACCCACACCAACTCCACTGCCGCCCTAAAACATCACATTCTCAATTAAAATCTACTTCTGTAAAAGCTCAGTGATTAAAAAAAAAGTATCATCTTCCCTAAAAATGAAAGCTCATAATTCATTCCTACCAGCAATAGGTGAGATTTTCAGTTTGATGGGTGCATAAGCATAGGAAGAAAACAAAATTCAAGTTCAATCTTATGTGAATACTTCATTATTCAAAGCTGTTATTGTCTGGAGAGATGAGCACAGAGAATGCGGATAATGAGAACGAATTTTATAAATATCACTGCAAATGTAGCTGTATGGAAACATAACGTTGTCATCACAATCTCATCTGTTCAGTATGTGTTTAAACTGGGACAAACTCCTTGCTGACTTGCACTTGAAGTTATGAGATTTGCAGATGGTGTGGATCACCAGAGAATGCAACCAGTATTCTTATAAACCTTTCGTTTTATTAGGTGGATAACACCCACAACTACACTTCTGTCAACAGAAAAAAGCATGGCTAGGGCAGTGGCAGAACCAACTTCCTACAGTGTTTTGCAATGTGAAATCACAGGGAAAATTCCCCAAGTCAGAATATAGTTCAATATCCATTGCCCATTCAACCCCTAGCCCCTTTCTGCAGTAATGGTAAAAATTAATTCTAAACATGATGCTTTTTTTTCCCTGATACAGCTTTGCAAATAAGCAGATAACTTGTTGTTTGTTTGGTTTTTTTTTTTTGTTTTTTTGTTTTTTTTATTGGAGTTCCTAAATGAATATAAAATAGTCCTTATTCTTTTTCTATGAAGCTGCGTATGGTATTAATATTTAGTAACAGAAATACATTTCTCCTCTGTGTAAGATCAGTCGGTGGCACATGTTTCCAAACTGCTATCTGCTCGACTGTCTGTTTAGCTTTGTGACTAGAGGCAAGTCATTTTTCTTTGGAATGGTCTGTTTATTGTGTGGCCTTTGGAGAGATGGGGTCGCTGATGTCTGTGCATATGTATGTTTTGCAGTCTTAATTGCCACCCTGGACCAAATTAGATTGGATAACTAAAAGATATTGAATGGTTTATAAAATACATTGATTTACAGAGGTGAAATGATGGCAATTCATATGGCGAAGTGCCCTGACTGGGATCTGTTACTTTATTTGCCTCCAAATGAATTGCTCTGTCAAGTTGCTGTTAAGTGTGGCAATTTCAGAGGTGAAACAGACCTTGAGCACACCCGGATGCTGTTCCAAAGCATTCAGCAATTCTGATCAGTATGGGAAGCAGGTAGCTGTACTGCATCCAGCTGACACCTAAACAGGAAGAAGATCATTTGTCTGGAATATGGCCAGAACACTGCACCTCCTGTGAAAGCATTGTGAAATACTTCACGGAGGCAAGTAGTTAGTTTAGGGAAAATGGCAACTCCAGCTACACATGCCTTAGGGCATTAAACTGCTACACAAGGCTAGTTATAATTGGTTTCCTAGTTAATTATGTAAACCTCACTGCAGTACAACCCAGCCTTATTTTCAGTAATACAATATAATTGGTTGCACCGTTACATAGTGTATTGTGAGCAACTGCCCATCTTAAGAAGCCACAGCTTTGTTTCCATTGTTTCTCATTTGCAGTTTTAGAATTAGTACACACAGCATTGTGAGATTAAAAAGAAAAACACAAAAAACATACCTCCTCCAAACTTTGGGAGTTTCTTTATATTCCTTCTAATTGTGATCCTGCCTAATGTTATGCTTTGAAGCTTTTTGCTGTAACTGAGAAATAGGAAAGTGCTTTTTCATAAAAAGGATGTCTTCATGTCATCACTGGATTTCTATTCCTGAGGATTTAACAAAATATAAACCATAATGGAACTTTTATGAAATAAAATATAAATATGAAAAATAAAATAAAATATGAAGAGTGGAGGAGGATTTATTTTGGTCAGCCTCCTTCCAGAGAGCTTGATATCAGACCTCAGTCTGTTTCTTGAAGATGTATCAGGAATGTCTCTTAACATAATTTGCAGGTGTCCCAAAAGGTTTGTCTGTGAGACTATTGTATTTATACTTACTGCTTCCATGAAAACAATGTACTTAATACTGTCAGTTTTGTTTCAGTGCACTTAGATATAATGCAAGCATAACATAAAATAAATTGTGTACCAGTAAATAAAGAGTGGGTTTTTGACTACAGAGTTGGGAATGCTGGTAAAAAAAGAAGCAGCAAAAAATGAGGAAATCTAAATGTGTAGTATATTTGAGATTAATCTCTTTTCCAAACTGTCATTTAGGATTTCTTCAAGACTTAGATGCATTAGTTAAGGCTTGCTCAACAGAGCCCTGCCTTAATGGTGCTGTTTTTCAGAGCAACCTAACTCTTCTTCATCTAAACGTGCTTCAGGGTTATAATCTTATGTCTGTGTTCAGTGAATCTTCAGAGAGTTTCCTGAACTTCTTGAAGAGGATCCGTCTTACGATTCCCCTATCCAACTTCCTTGTATTGCTTTCTCAGACCAGTCTTTCCTCACAGCATGAGCTGAATCTTGTACTGGCTGTTATTTCATGATTATCTCAATCTCCTGGTTGCTGTTACTGACTATCAAAAGGAAGAGCACAACACATCACTCCCTCCATCCAAGGAAATTTCAGTTCATCTCTACATTTACAACAGAAAAAAGCTGTTACCACTGTACATTATTAAAAACAGTTGTCAGTCAAAGCTCATAACAGTTTTCTATCTTACAGCTACGTCTGTAAGTACCAGTACAGTGAAGCAAAGAAAACTTAAGGGAGATGCACAGGAACCCAAAGTAAATCAGTGGGACAGCAGTGAACGGAGGCAGCTCTCTTGCCATAACAGAGCCATCCTTCCCTTTCTGTCAGTGCTGTCAGTGCCGATGTTGATACCCAGTTACAAACAGAACTGTGTGCATCTGACTTGCATAGCTGTTACCCTCTTAACAGTTGGGCCAGCTTGAGAGTATGAAGACCTGTTCAAGAAGTATTAAATACAGAGATATCATAAGCCTTATTCTTCACAATTGTACTCTGACCCTCTTGCAGTTTGTTATTTGCTCTTTTGCTCTAATCTAAACATCTGCTGCAGATCTCATTCCTAATTTGTAGAGATAACTGCATCCATGGGGAGAAATGCTTCACTTGTAGTCACGTTGTATAGTTCCCTTTGTGGTTTATTCTGGCACTTTGACTTGTCATAGTTGAATAGATTGAATTCTGTAGAGTGCTCTTGTAAAATGCCACACTTTTGATTTTTAAATGTACTTCAGTGTGATGAATGCAGCATTAGAGTGGGATGTGGACTAATGCTTAGATTTATGGATTGTAGCTCCAAGTTTTATTCTCAAGCCTCTCACCAGATTATTGTATGAATCATGGATAGGTCATTTTCAGGATTTCTGCTCCTTCATTCCATATCTGTAAAATGAATGTGTTTTACCTATAGAGCAGGTCTGTGTTGACACCCAGTTGGTTATTTTTTGAACAGCTAGGCAGCAGGCGTGCTGTAACATGTCCTAGAATGGTTGTTCGACTCATATAGGTTGTTCCAATCCTAACCATTCTATGATTCTATGAAATACTAATTACCCAACTGCTACCTTGTACTTCCATTGTCTTTTTATTGAGAACAAATACTTTACTGAGTTGTAAATTGTGTAAAGATAAATCATTGCTTTAACATATGTTTATGTGGTGCCTGTCATAGTGAGCTTTCATTACTTGGGTGAATTAAGCAGAAGAAAAGGCATTACTAGAACACAAACATAAAATAAAGAACGTGCTTTGAGATCTTTGAATGAAATGTACCAAGGGTTATTACAGCTGTATTCTTTCCAAGAAAAAATTTTCAAGCATTATTATTTTTATGGGCATTTTTATCTGCTGTACTTTAAAAGCAGACAGTAATTACCAGTGTGTCTGAATCCATCAGTTAATGGAGGAAACTAAAGGACACGAGCAAAAGGCTTGCTCCATTAATGACTTCTGAGGTAAAGGTTCTAAAACCTGCTAGAATTTAGGAAGGGCATGTTTTGCTCTAGAGCAGTTTACCATTTGAGGAGTTTGCTTGTTAATGAATAGCAGCTTAATAATAATACAGCTGATACTAATTCAGAATTAATATCTGAAGTAGGTTTAACAACTAATAAAAAGAGGCTGTTATGTGTGTATTAAACCTGGAACAGCATATCTGATGCATCTCTGTTTTAGGCAGCTAATTACTTTTTCCATCAACTCTGGAGATGCATTAATTTGTGAAATAGTTTTATGTCCTTTGGAAGTTTGACAAGAAAATTGTAGCTGATATGAGGAAAGAAGTCTGGAAAGCAGCAATACTGAAAAGGCTATAGATACAATTTTATGGAGTGACAGATTAATGGGTTCTAGGTGTCATATGTAGAAGTATCCCATGTTTTGTTTTCACTAATTAGTTCTTAAAGGAGTGTATTGGGGAAGCTAGTTCCCCATATGTTTTCTGGAAAGAGAGGAAGGGATATGGTGCATCTAACTAGGTTTTGAAGGAAAAATAAGTGTTTGAATGAGAATTCATTACAATATTTGAAAAAATTGTTTTTCAGATCATCGCCTTTGATGAACTTCGGACAGACTTCAAAAGCCCAATAGATCAGTGCAACCCAGCCCACGCAGTGAGTACAACCAGTGGCTTGCTAAGCAACAGCTACTAAAGAAAGGGAGATGCACTGAGCTGTTAGTGGAAGTATGTGTGGACATGAATGTAGATCTAGTCTGATGTGAAGTCAGCTGTAGTTCGGAAAATTGATTTATTGGGCCAGTCTTAGGAAGCCAGATGGCGACTCTTTACGCTAATAGCTTTCCTTCTTTTTGAAGGAGGCAGGAAAATAATTTGGAGGCTCAGATATATAATTTGAAGAATATATGATGTGATGCTGATGCTTTCTTTTAATCTTTTCATTCTGTGGCACAAGTTTTCCATTTTGGAATAATTTGCTTTCTCTGTGTTCAAACGTGTTCACCTTCTCCCATACTGTCTACATCAATGAGTCAAAAGCTAGAAGGGATTTCATAAGAGGTGCATTCCTAGACCTCTCATGGCAGGGCCCTAAATTCTCCTGTGATTTAAGAGTAAATAGCACATTCTGCTGCATCTGCTATGCAAAAGGTTAAATATTGTCCTGGGACTGTAAACTCAGTTTTACCTAATGAACCAAAATGCAACTCAGGTTGAAGCATATGAAAATTCCTCTGTTAATTAAAGCTGTGATGTAGGGTGATTTAGCTGACTACAGTTAAAAATGCGTCAGATTTGTACCACCAGAAATGAGAGCAGAACTTGGCACCCTGTAATCTCACTGGGAATTACAGTGATTATGACAGGTGCTGAATTTGATATCTGAATTTGATATACAGAGTATCAAATTATTGAATTGCCTACAACTGATAACCAGGTTCAGTAGCTAGTACTTTGTCATTTAACCTTGTTTCATAACTTTGCAGAGGATTTGCAGTACTGCTTGGACCATTGATGATTTTAAGCGTAAACTTTACATGAATCTTCAAATAAGAAGGCTTACTTACTGTTCACAAACACATAAACAAAAAATGAGAACAGAAGAAAGAAATTATATTAAGAAATCCTATAGAGGACTTCGGTGGAAGTAATCTGGTTTTGAATTTACTGGAAGTAAATCTGATTTTGAATTCATTTTATCTGTTTTTACTTCCTGTTTTGAGAACTGCACAGAAGAAATGTGTATCTATATCTACCAAATTCCAGTAACTTGTTCTCTTCCTAGCTGGGAAGATGCTCCATGGAGATAATTTCTTCTAATTTTGAAATGGTAATTAAATTGGTCTCCAGGATGAAAAAAGTTAGTAAGTCCCCGTTTCAATCATTAGTGGTGTAATCAAAAAGTTAACTGTGGAGTTTCCAGTAAAACACAGCAAAGGGTTGTGTAATCAGTTGACATATTTGACTCTCTTCTGTGAAACTTTCTGTGATAGCTCAAGCAATCATCTCAGATTGCTTTCTTATGCACAGTATACATGTTGATGCCTTTTACAGTGATATAAAAGGAAGATTTTTAGCAGGTATTTCTTATATCTTTGGCCAAATGTGTTTTCATTTTTCCCTATACATAGTTGCTCGTGCCCATATTCCTTTTATTTGGTGCGGTAGTTTATTGCACTATAAGAATGTCTGATGTTTACTCTTGTATCTTCCACAATGTTTTCAAGACAGAGTAGAGCTTTTTTAACAAGAGAAGGTTGAATTAGGGAGAAATCAGAGGCAGAAAACAGTGGCAGTACTGAGAATTTAATTCAAATTTCCTGGTTCACACCGTTACCTACAGTTCAAAGATAGACTTCCTACTTCTCCAAGGCCAGCTGCAGTTACGCATCTGTC